CGTCCCTGTTTCACTATCCTACGTCCTTTCCCGGGACTCAAACTATCTCTATGCCAAAATTGGTTCAGTGGTTTAGGCGTGAAAGCAAGATAGACAGACAGAGTTACTTTCGCATTTATAATATAAGTATAGATATATATAGTATAGATTCTTAGGTACAGCACCAAAACTACACCTAAAGGGACGTCTGTATTTATTACCAATTGAAGTATTGATGTAGGTATAAAGTAATAAAAGTATAGTAAAAAGTGATAATAAATACAAAACAAACATCTAAAGTAAACACTTCCAAGTATCTTATCGCGGTCATCAAACTTCAATTTTGTTGACAATTTGCGGGGACAAATTTCAGCTTCAGTACTTTGGAACGGTAACCGGCAAGGTTGGTCAAAGTTTACAAGTAAATTCAGATTTTTATTTGGAAGATATCACTGAGTTTGAAATCTGTAGGTAGCTTATGTAGAGAGAATGAGGAGATTGAATTCGTGCTGCAGCAACACTCAGATCTTGGTTGAAAGTTAAGCATTTTACTATGTGATATTTTGTTTCCATATTCATTTATGCACATACTCATTATTATACTATGGTTGTTGACTATTAGTAAAAAATATTTCTCATTAAAACAGTAAAAAAGGCTCTCGACTATTTTAAACATTGAATCGTTTCATAAAAAATAGTCCACTAATTTTCGCGTTTATTGTAAAAAAAACAAAACCTCGGACAGACAGACAGACATATCGAAACTATAAGGTTCCTTGTCAGGACTACGGAACCCGAAAATAGAAATAGAAAATATTTTATTGATAGGTACTTATTAAGATTGTAATGATTTCTTGGGGGATTGAAGCTTCTATTGTGAGAAATCCAAATATAATAACACGGCTGTCTGAATTTTTTTACATCACTTTACTCTCAATGAAGTCTATCTGTAAAATAAAATCATAAATAATGTTCCATCTGCCAGCGGCTATAACTTATCTCTACAGCCGAAGGGTGTGGCAATAACATTCTAGTAAGTTACTCAAAACAATTATATTTTGCGTATAAAATACCTACAAAAACATTGATAATAACGGTATACTTTGTTACATCAGAAATTGTACGTTTTTATCAAGTTCACATGCGGATATTGTACGATATTTGTCGAAACAACAAACACGATTGTTTTTAAACAATAGACCACTGTAAATGTTATTGAGAGACTGTGATAGGTATTAAACACTACTGCACGAAGCATCTGATAAATCATAAGAGTTAGCCTTCTTTCAACTTCATTATGATTTCTCTTAATCATCATCATTTCAGTCACCTAGGACCTCAACTGCTGAACATGGGCCTCCCCCAATGATATCCAGATTGGCCGGTTGGTAGCGGCCTACACCCAGCGTGTTCCGACTTCTACATTTCTCGTAGACGACCTCCTTGTATTCCACCTTGACCGGTTGGTAGCCCGCATCCAGCGCTTTCCGATACGTGGCCTCCACTCCAGAACCTTGCTGCCCCATCAGCCGTCAGTTCTGCGTATTATTTGTTTGAATCCTTTCGGAGATTTATCCGTTAACTGTAGTAATTTTCATAATAAAGCTCAGCTTACCTAAGTGGTAGTCGGATGACTAATATTTAATTAGAGCCTACAAAAGCATATCAGCTCATTCAAGATAATGCAAGTAAGAGTAGGTGTACNAGGTGTACTAAATAGTACCACTCAATGGATGCGTGATTATCATTCAGCGGTTCATGAAAGTTGAGCTCATCATTAAATGATGACTAAAACCTTTTTCCTGTTAGACAATTACAGTCATTTGTTTGGGTAAATAGTAAATTTTGTAATCAGAAATATACAAATAAGTGTATGTCGAATATAAATAAAGGTTCTGTATACTTATAGGAATCCAACGATACTCCTGCTTTAAAATTACACTGGCAGAATGACAAATGGGATTAACGTTAAGTATTTATTTAATTTATCCTTTGTAAAAGTATTCATTCATAACGACAAATAAATCTAGAGAGAACGTCCAGTGTGCCAGTGGTTAAATCAATGCTCTTTTTACTTTGACGTTATAAAATTGACATAATGTTAGTAAATACTCGAAATTTTCCATTTTATGTTTGAGAATGAAATAAATATTATTTTCTTCTTAAAAAAAGAACGAATTTCACAATCCAATATAACATTCATAATATGATCTTGGCACTATGTTTGACTATAGAACCCTAAAAACAAATAAATTTTAAGTTAGGGTATGAATGAGTACCTAGTTTGATTATTAGGGTGAGTGAGTAAGTTCTTGTGTACCTAGTATGATTTGTAATATTTTCTTTATTGTACTCGTAGTAGGTATGTAATTTTGGGTTTAACCCATTCCATCAGATGCTTTTTTGTTTTGTTGTAAAAATTGTGGGTGACAATTCGTATTTATCTTCATAATTTACCACCTCAATTGTTTTTCCTTATTTGAACTAGCAACGTTTATTTACCGGTAACTGTCTTATACTTTTGAGTACAAAAAGAGCAATAAAGATTAAGCCAGTAAATTATCTTCAGATAATTATTGTTTATCTTTCTCCTATTTAAACAATTGATTACTGACACCTCAGGGCTCTGTGACAACCTCGTGGAAATCATAAAGTTGTTTGTTTTGAATAACTTATTGCCCCGGTTGCGCTCATTAGCGCTTCTAGAGTAGAAGGATTGGGATAAAAAGAAGTGACATTTGGCTAGTACGAACTTCAAATACGTTTTCAATCATCTATCCCAAGATTTCTAAAAGTAGGGATAATTAAAAATTCATATTAATTATTTTGGCACCGAATGAAGAATAAGGTTTTAGATCTTACAACCGTAGTTTCCCGTACCTAGCGAAAAACGCAGCGGTGGACGTCCACCCACTAGGTGAACCGACGACCTCATAATGATAGCAAGCTCTGGATGCAGACCGATGGACCGTTGGGGGAGGCCTAGGTTTAGCAATGGACGTCTTGTGGCTGAACTGATGATTATGATGAACCATGTTTTTGCCCTTAAAAGTAAAGAAGGTACATTTGTATGGTCGTGTGTAGACGAAAATCACGCGGGTAAAACCACAAAAACAATGCTGTAAAAATAAAATTTATTGCATGATATTGTGTTATTTACTTCATTTGAATACCTAGAATCACATCTATTAGTTAATTACGATCACGCGGCAATTAAACATTATCTAAACCTTTAAAAGTTAGCGATGTCACACCATTCTGATTGTGGTACACTGATGTGCACCTTCCTGATCATGGCCGAGTCGGCCAGGCCGACCCACGTGATGGTCACGTGACCATGCTTCAGACAGATCTGGGCCATTGAAGATATTTACGTAAACTTTTTACAGCGAAAGGCGGTATTGTGGCTGTGTAGGTAGGTGTTATACATTACAGGGTGTTAGGTAAATGGGTATATGAGCCGACACTAGCCCATGTTAACATGAGCATATAAATGGTATAGTAAAGTCAGAAATTAGATATCATCATTTTATTTTTTAAAATTTTCATACAAAATATATTTTTATAAAATTAGATTTGTATGAGAATTAAAATAATTAAAATAAAGATATCAATTTTCTGACTTCACCATACCATTTATATGGCCACTAGCTTTCCGCCCGCGGCTTCGCCCGCGTGGATTTTTGTCTGTCACAGAAAAAGTTTATCGCGCGCGTCCCTGTTTCAAAAACCGGGATAAAAACTATCCTATGTTCTTTCCCGGGACTCAAACTATCTCTATGCGAAATTTCATCAAAATCGGTTGCGAGGTTTAAGCGGGAAAGCGTAACAGACAGACAGACAGACAGACAGACAGACAGACAGACAGACAGACAGACAGACAGAGTTACTTTCGCATTTATAATATTATATAGTTGGGATGTTAACATGGGCTAGCTCATATACCCATTTACCTAACACCCTGTAGAGCGATGTACAGTTGCAATTCACTCGATTTCATGCATTCATTGCTCTTTAAGCAAATGCAATGAAATCGAGAGACTGTATAATTCGTTTGTCGACTAATTTTGATAAATCGTGTTCGACTATTTCACCTTGTAGATCAGTTCAAAGAAGAAGTTCAAGAAAATTAGTCGATACTGTAATTTTGCCATTGCTATTTAACTATGAGTAGGTAGACTGCAGCTCTGATGTTCATAATATATGCCATATCTCTCTATATAAAAATGTTTAGAAAAATTTGTAGCATTAAGATATTGTGTCCTTCTTGGAAATGAACCCAATTCCTACTGATCAAAAGAGGCTATGTACTAAAATAAATGTTAAATAAGTATTAAATAATTCATTCGAAAGGTCAAGTTCAACGTCTAGTCAAAATTAAATGAAAATAGGTAACCAAAGAAAGTAGTTCTAAGAAGGAAAGTGAAGAATCTTTTTATGTAGAGATTTCTAGACTTGCGAAATTTGAATGAAAATACCTGTCTGGAATTCAATTCCAGAAAGGATCCACAAAACGTAACGACAGATTCTGAACAAAGATATACGAAATAAGTTTTCAGATAATAATTGAACCGGTGGTGAAACTTTCGCATCGGAATGTACAGTCAACTGCTCATCAGACTTTAATTTTTTTTCGCAAAATAGCATCTATTACATAAGACATAAGACAACGCAGTGGTAAGCTTGATATGCTGTCGTCTGTACCAAGAAAATCTTGACGTTCGAGTTGCGTAGTGCCTATAAATAGAGTACAATTTTAGCTTACGACCCAAGTTTGGTGCTTCTATTCGAAATCCTCATATTTACCGCACAAAGGCAAAACAAAGAATACAAACAACCTGGATACTTATATGCTAATGCTAGTTTATCGGCACGCGCGCGCATAGTGCAAAGTTTACATACTCAGAGATGTGTAACTATACAAGTACATAAACATGTGCACGTCACTGCGTATGTTGCGATCCTTTATCAAGCCACTTACACATATCGCACGTGTCAGCCCGTATATAAAGCCGCTTGATTCGCTCAACCGGCATAACTGGTAGCACCAGCTTACCGAGCAGTCAACTTTCAATTGTTTAAACATTTGAATATAAAAGTTCCATTGGAACTGACAAATTATAACTTCAAACATTTGAAAACAGAAGTTCCATTGGAACGCGCAAATTCTACGTTTGAAAATTTGAATATTCAAAAAGAAGCCATGGACAAGAGACAGCTGATCGGTAGTGCTACGCGCTACATCGCTGGCAGGCATGCAGTCCAGACTGTTTACTGGAGAAAATCAGCGGAGGAGGGCAAAGGGATGCTGAAAACCACCAAGATGACCTTCTTCGGGAAAAACGAGGGACCCAACAAAGTGGATAGCGCGGAAATGTTTGCGAGAGTACGCGACCGATACATGTGAAATGATACCGAGTATCGTTCCAGTTACAACTGTGATATCTCTAGAATAAGGTCTTAGGTCTAAGTTATTTATAATGTAGCGAATACCAGTGAGAGTGATTTACCGTGACAGCGGTATTTTTGTAATGTGATTGCGAGTCACCACATAGTGCAAATTAGTTTTTAACTGTATTTGGAAACCTCAATAAAAGAAGTGAATTTGTTAAATATTTTGACTACATTATTATATCCTGCATACATGTTTATTTTATTATGATTAATAATTTAACTGTTCCATCTACAGACCGTAGATAATAGTCACTTATGATCGTATTAATTACACTAATTAGGTAGGTATTTTACAATCAAGTACATTCAAACCTGCTAGGAATGAATACAGAAAACATTTTGACCGGCTTGCCTGGGAATCGACCTCTTACCCAAAGCTGCTGTCACGAGAACAAGAGTTGATACCTAATTTAGTAATTAGGTATCAACCTATCAGTATCAGCTTCTGTAATAGTTTACAGAAGCTGATACTGATAGGTTAGATACCTAAATGACACAAACGCAGACATTTCAAAGATTAGGCTTTAACCTTTTAATAGACAAATCGGGTTGATTTTTTTATTCCTTTTGGTCTTAGAACAGACGATAGCACATGAAGCTAACCATTAAGGTCTTTATGCAGTTCTAATAGGGGCGAATTTGCAACAACATGTGTACTCTGATATGCTATCGACTGTAAAAAGTCATTGTCCTATAAAGTAGTATAAGATTTTAAAATGATGCCAAGGTCTTTCACAAAAGAGTTTTGATTAAGCTTTGGGTCAAAAAAGGAGTAAATTAACATAACACATAAAGAACAAATAATATTCATAACATTAATTTAACGACTCTACATAGTACAAAATCGCTCCGTCTGTCTTTATGAATAAATCTTTTAAGCTACGCAACGGCTTCTACTAATGCGATTTTAATAAATGAATAGCATGATTCAGGAACCTTCCTAAATGTTGAATTTGTTATGGCTTTGTATAAATTTCTTGAAATACATATGACAACGCACCAGTAACCTATATTGCACCTTTGGAAGCCAGAGTGGGTTGCTAGTAAAGGCTGATTTACACGTATTAAGTACATATTAGGTAACTAAATTTTAACCTAATTTTTCTGTCAAGTTGGTGGGCGGGGCTGGTCACTTGACACGTTTTGACAAGCAGTTTCGTAGTAAACAAGAGCTTGACGTTTGGCCATAGACTTAAAATAAGGTTAAAATTTAGTTACATACTTAACTACTTAATACGTATAAATCAGCCTCAAAAGATAAACAAATAAGGGTTCCGTTTTTTCCTTTTGAGGTACGTAACCCTAAAAAGCCACTTGATCATCGGAATGTATTGGCATCGCACAATAAAATAAACAAAAACATAAGACTGACTGTTAAAACGATATCAGTCAATTATCGATTGATTAATGAATCGATTTATTCATCGTAACAGACATCAAAGAGAACTATAACAAGATAATTAATCCATACTCATATCATAATAATATGATGAAAAGACAGACAGAATTCCTTTCGCATTTATAACTATTATGGATTAATTTCATTGGAAAATTCTCTCTGATGTGGCGGGCTTACGTTTAACATGATTTATTAGTTTGATGATTTCAGTTAATTGTAGGTATAAAAATGATCAGCACATCTGACTATACAGTGTGTCCGGGCTTGTAGTGATCAAACTTTAAGGGCAAAATCTAGGGACAATTTTATCGATAAAAATACTTCAAATTTGGGGCCTGACCCATTTCTCGAAAAATTACATCGATGTAAGTTTTTAATTTTTAGTTTACACCTCTTCTTTAAAAAAACAAGTGAAAGCGTGGGTAGCTTAACATTAATATGCAAATATTTTATATCATGCGATAGCCAATAAAATTATCTATTAGTTGAAGAAGAAAACACACACAAATTTCATACATTTTATGGGAGTAAGAATGGATTGAATTAGAAAAATACATTACTTTTTTCACTTCTTTTTCAGTTATTTTCCAACACAAAAAAAACCAGGTCGTTAAGGTATGTTTTATTTGCATTGTATTTTTAGTATTTGAGCTATTCTACAAAACGAATGCGCACGCGACATGCGAAAATGCACTGCCTGAAAGAATCACACAACCTATTCCGATTACTATGGAAACCGCTGGGAAGGGGTATCTTTGTTCAACAATTACGTCGAAACTAATAGACGTAGACTAATAAATTAACATTCGTTTTGTAGAATAGCTCAAATACTAATAATACAATGCAAATAAAACATACCTTAACGACCTGGTTTTTCTTGTGTTGGAAAATAACTGAAAAAGAAGTGAAAAAAGTAATGTACTTTTCTAATTCAATCCATTCTTACTCCCATAAAATGTATGAAATTTGTGTCTGTTTTCTTCTTCTACTAATAGATAATTTTATTGGCTATCGCATGATATAAAATATTTGCCTATTAATGTTAAGCTACCCACGCTTTCACTTGTTTTTTAAAGAAGAGGTGTAAACTAAAAATTAAAAACTTAAATCGATGTAATTTTTCGAGAAATGGGTCAAGCCCCAAATTTGAAGTATTTTCATCGATAAAATTGTTCATAGATTACGCCTCTAAAGTTTGATCACTACATGCCCGGACACACTGTATATTTTTATTGCTAAATGCTATTTTGCATTAAAATTTACTATTACGATTTAGGTATATAATTAAGATGCCACTGTGTTTAATTTATTACGCTGTTAGTAGTTAGTGTTTTCTTGATTGGTTAGTTTTGTTTATATTAACTTGATTTTCTATGTACGTTGATAACTGACTGATTCAGATACAATAATAATAGGTAGGTACTACGTCTAGGACAGAAAATATTATAAATTAATAAGAGCTGTTATAAAGTTTAGAGCTCCACCAGCTCGCACTAAGCGTTTCGATGACTCTTTTATAATGCGAACAGCTAGGGACTGGAATTCTCTGCCTGCTGCTGTCTTTCCCGAAGACTTTAATCCGGATCTTTTCAAGGCGAGAGTGAATAGGTACTTACAGGGCAGATATGTACCATCCTAGACTGCATCCCACTTAACATCAGGTGCGATTGTGGTCAAATACCTGCCTTGTTATGCATATAAAAAGATACTTAGATAGAATTAACTTTATTGTACCTAAATACAGTATATAAAATAGACATATAAAGGAAATGACACAATGTAGGTGGTCTTACGCTAGGAAGAGATATTCCAGACAATCCAAAGAGAGTAAAATTATTTAAAATAAAAGGAGAAGGCGATGATTTAATTAATAATAAAATATAAGAGAATGAAATGTGATGAAATTGAGCTTACGACCTACGTAAGCTAAACGTAACTATCTAGTTTAGTTTATTTAGATGTTTATCTTATTTACAATTGCCAAAGTCCATTGGCATGTAAAGCGATTTGTTTATTTTTCTGCTATCTTCTCTGTTTGACATTAGACCTTTTATTAATTTCGCATCTCCTAATCGCTTTTTGTGATTAATTGCTTCTAGAAGCTTCCATACAATTCGCCGGTGATAAACAGTTCTAGATTAGATGTCAACAACGTTATTATGTCTGGGATATTGATGTGTTTCTGGCAATACAATAAATAGATATGAGAATAGTGACTGAGTTTCTTGCGCTACTTCTTCGCAACACTGGCCCATTTATTGTCCCGAAGCAGTGGTGGGGTTAATACTTGGACGTGTAAAAGTGCTTTTTAAAAGCCTCTTTGCAAAAAGAAATGAGTTTTTTATGAGTTTAATATAATCGTATAATTCTAATACATATTATAAAGAAGTGATACATTATATATTTTTTTTCATGATCCTTGCAACTATTGAGTCGATTTTTAAAATTGATTCTTCCTTAGAAGAGATTTCTTTAGGTTAGTTTTCTTTCTGTGTCAGACCGTACTTCATGCAGATGAAGCCGTGGATAAAAGCTAGTACACTCACTGGAATAAAACACTTAAAATTGGCTATGGCGAAATCAATCAAACAAACACAAAAGAAAATAATGGGAGAATAAGTAATGTTGGCCTTCCATTAGGTGGACCGACGATCCGGTGAAGGTCACGGGAGGTGCCTGGATGCGAGCGGCGCAGGACCGGACTTTGTGGAAATCCTTGGGGGAGGCCTTTGTCCAGCAGTGGACATCTTTCGGCTGAAACGAACAAAATAATTTAATTCCTCCATTTTTGATCTAATAGAGCTATAACGAACCGAATCATCCAGTAAATCGATAAAGATTCATTATATTTCGAAATTGGAAAGTTGGCGAATCGAATAGTTTCTGTAATTAAACCGCGAAAACGCTTTCGAATTAAAGCGCTTATTCTCCGAAATGTCAAGGCCGCAATGTAGCTGAATGCCAAGCTTCTAACTTACGAACCACACATCAGATTTGACACAATGACATCTTATGCTCTTGTATTAAGGACGATTTTACAGCAAAATTGTGAAGTTTGAAGCGACGGGTAGTGGCGCGGTGTCTATTCAAAGCAATCTACCCACATGCCTTTGTCCGAGCTCTTGTCTTGTACTTTGACAAAGCGACACTTGAGAGGTTGTCTTTATAGGTGTTATTTAAAATGGGCATTATACAGTGGGTTTGCGAAGAAGATTGGCTTTTAAGCTTTGATCGGAAATTTTAAGTCTATACTGCAACATCCTGGCAATACTCCACGGACAGAAACCATTTATGGGTTAAATATTTATTTAGAAATTAACTTTAGAAATAGTAGATTTTTATACAAGACTGGCCTTTCGACTGTGTTGCTACAGCAGAGATAGGTGCTTACATACTGCATTAAAATGTTTCTTTCAAATGGTTTGAGTCTCGTTGCTCTTAGGCTGAGTTGCAGCATCTTATTTTAAACGTCAATATAACCATAACCGGTGTTTTTGTATAGAATTTGACAGGCTAAAGTACAGTGGTGCAACCCAGCCTTAGTTTTACATACGCTCGTATTCACAAACGATGCTTTCTTAAGTGAAGCAGCAAATTGAAAACACAGCGTTGAATATAGAGCTCTATGATTTGTTCGTGTGTCACCCTGTGTATCCACGCGCACTGTGAGAGCTCATAGTGATGTTTGTGAATACGGGCGTTAGTTACATAAAACTTGCAACATAGTTGCAATGTGTTGCTCTACAAAAATATTCTGTGGAT